CCTCATGTCGACTCCACTTCATAATACAAAGTTAGAGAGAAACGTTAATTAGAAACAGAGATGATTGTCGTTCTGTGCCTCCCAAAGTAAAGAAAAGTTCAACACCTACACTAACAGAGATCAAGACGTAGAAAGCGAAGCGCTCCATTGACGGTGAACTCGGGGCTTCGGGGGGAGGTGGACGGTGCTCTGGGCACCCCCTTCCCGTGACACAGGGACTCCAGACGCCTCCTCCGTGAGTGTGAGCAAGGGGAGCTAGCCGCCTGCAACATGGCTCAGGAGAAGCCATGGGCTACGTGTGCACACAACAGTAGGAATAGACCCGCAGAATGTGGCGGGAAAATGTACAACGTGAAACCTCCGTGTGATCCTTCCGCTCCGTGGCTGAGGCTGCCGGTGTGAGGGCAGAGGGGCGCGTGCAGACGCGGGGAGCCCGGGCCTGTCAGGCTCTGTCTCTTACATGCGGCTGTGGCTGTCCGGTATGAACTCTGCAGCCAGTGGCTGGGCAGTGTTGGGGATGTATGCACTTTCATCTGTGGATTTTTTTGAAGCCTTACCTTTCGGCAATCACCTCCTCACTGAGAAGTAGGCAACTGGCCAACGGTAATCTGTGCTTGAGGCACGGTGGTGCTTTCCCTAAAGGTGTGCAGCTACGTCATGAGCCATCTCCTTTCCTGGTGCAAGAAGCCGGCTTTGGTCTGTGTCTGCTCTGTCACAGATGCATTACCAGATCAAAATGTAAACCCAGACTTCCTCAGGAAGAACTGGTTGCAAATGGGTTGTCCTACGAAAATGTCCACTAAAGTAATGAAGCATTTGTTGCCATTTGCAAGTTTACTTTTGCATAAATGTGCACTATGAGTTGAGGGGAAGAGGCAGGTGGCTGCCGAGCCCACAGGGGTCCGGGACAAAGGATAAGAAAACACCTCCTTTTGATACGGTCCATTTTATGTGGCCATATGCACATAGCTATTGAGCCATTGTGATCCTCTCCTAAGAACATCCTCCTTTGTTCTCAGTGTGGGAATGCTCAGAGTGCTGTTTAACTAATCATATCCAAGTGTAATTGTTTGTCTTTTACAATCCATTGGATTAATTTGTAGATTTATAGACGTATTCTAGTTCCAAGAAATGGAAACAAGAGGCTTGTTAAAATTGTATTGTTTGCAGTTCTTTTTTCTTTCTTTTTTCTCCTTTGGTTTATTCCCTGTTGTCACTGTTTTGGTTTCAGCACCCTTTGTCTTGTATATAATTTTATCTGATTTGGGGAAGGGAAGGGGAATTACAGAAATGGTGGGACAAAGGGTAATTCAATTCAACACTGGTACTCACTAGACACTATGTTGGAAATGAACTATATGACTAGGGAGGGAGGGGTCAGGAGGGAAAAACTGGGAGAAAATGAGGGAGGGGTTCAACTGTTCAAAAACAAGTGTGCTCATTACCTGACTTATGTAACTGAAACCCCTCTGCACATCACCTTTACAATAAAATTTAAAAAATACCTCCTTAAAAGTGACATAGTGAGTTCACATCTATATCCAAGAGGGGAAATTGGAAATGCTTCTGAATATGAAAAATGAGCCACCGATCCTTTGTGGTTCTTTTTGTGACAAAACAATCTACTCAGCTGAATATTCTTAAAAAATAAAGGGCTTCAGTTCCAAAATGTTAGTAGAGAAGCTTGAAAACATTCCTTCCATGAATCTAGCATAATATGAAAAGTCTGTTATAAAAGACTGCTAAAGAACTTTGGAATCACTTTGGGACCATGAAAACTGTGTTTGTATCCTTGATTTTTTTTTAAAGTGAACTTACTGATGCTTTTTAAAAATTTAGCTATACTGAAGGTAAAATAAAATCAAGCTCTGTGACCATTAAAAAAAAACCAGAATTACAGAAAAAAGAGTAATTAATTTGTTAATGAATTGTTTCACAGGGGAATGACTGAAATACTATATTTTTGACTTGCTGATTTTTGAAAATCCATGGCTTCAGTCTCATAGTTTATGAAAATAAAGGAGATAGATTGAGAGAGAGAGAGAAAGAGAGAGAAAATGTGAGCATCTAAGTCAGAGTACACAGACTTTCTAGAAAGAAGTAATAGAATTGTCATCCTATTTTTCCTCTTACGGTTTAGTTTTTTATATTCTTATGTTCATATAGTCATAATGAAGCATGAGACTCTAAAACATCTGCTACCCCACCATATGGGAAAGAAAAGCATCTTTGTTTCAGCCTTTTAGTAACTGGCTTTATTTTAGCTGCATTTCCCTTTGAACTTGAATCTGACAATCCGTTTCCCCTTCCTGACAAACGCATCGAATGCAATCTGCCCAGAATGAGCTATGTATAGTCAGACGTGGCCAGCACCATTTGTTTTTGCCTCCTGCTCTAATGATTAGAGTCGGACCATAATGAGTGAGAACAGCCATCTTGTCCCTTAAGAAATTCTCACCACAACTTATAAAACAAAATACAATTTGTGCCTTTTTGGTGCAATCCATAAGTAGAAATGGCTGTAGTGACATGTCTGAAATGAAGTCCTGAATCACACATCCACAGGAAGATTAGAAAAGAACACCAAGTCTCACACACTGCCCACAGACACAGCAGCTAGGGCGCCGGTGCCGTGGAAAATGGGTCAAACTCCCTTCTCCTTCCTTTTTCCTCTTAATAATAGACCCAGAAGAGTTCAGACTTGAAACAAGGGTACAACACTTGTCCCTGTGATAAAAAAATTGCACGGTTGCTTAGTGTTTAAATGATTCCAACTACTAAGAAAGTAGAAGTACAGTTCATTCTCTTGCAAAACATAGACAAACAAAAAACAACCAGACTAACCCGTAAGCACGGGAGGCTGCTCTGCACTCAGAACATAGCATGCCACATGCAGAAAAGGTGTTGAAAAGTTCTCCTTCCCATTTCTCTCAATCAGTGCAGATATTTTGTTGATGGTTGTGAGGCAAATGGAAGGTATTTAAGGACAGAAGTGTTTGTTCACACAAAGAACCTGAGACACTTGAGGACCCAGATGCCGAGTGGTCCCGGGACCATTGTGCAGTAAGAACTGCATTGTTCGGGTATTCCCTTTGCTTACACTAACTTCTCATAAACCTCTCCAGCGGCAGCGCTGCATTTGGGGAGAAGGATGAGGTTTTCCACGTCTGTCCGTCTAGTGCTAGCCCAGTGCCTGATGCTCAGCGACCGCTCGATGAGGAGGAACGCCACCAAGGGATCCTCTCCCTGCACTAACTCCATTTCTCTGGTCATCTTCCTGATCTGGGAAAATCGATGGGAAGTGATGTGATCTGGCCTTCTCCTCTCCTTTCTGGCCAGACTGACATTGCTCTGAATCTAAGCGCTCAGGAAAGCCCTTGCCTGCCCTGGAGAGTAGAGGGGCTGCTCTATGCGTCCAGTACGGACCAGTCACGGGATGCGGTCTCGCCGCAGGGTCGCACGTTCGAGATGTAGCCCCGGAACCTGCATGGGGCCGGGCGGGGCAGGGCGGGGTGTGATGGAGCCGGGGTGGGGCGTGATGGAGCCGTGGCGGAGTGTGATGGAGCCCGCCAGGGCGGCAATCCCCTCGGGGTCATGCTTATCTGTGGAGCTCAGCTGCTCCGTAAATTGTGACACTGCGACTTTGAATCGCGCCCCCTGTCCTCAGCTGGCAGCGCCATGCATCTCCATGTCCAGGCTTTCCATGGTGAGTGTCTGCAGCCTCAGCCTCTCTCTCAGCTCATCAATACGTCGTGAAAACTCTCTCGGGCTTGTTCAGGGAAAGTCAGCCCCGCGCTCCAGTTCCGGGAACTGCGTGAGCAGTGGGCACATGGGTGATGTGCAGCCGGTCTGAAGGCTGCACAGCCGCACGCCAGCCATCCGTGCAGGTGCCAACCCAACAAAAAGACGTTTCAACCCGGGAAGCATGGTAAGAGTTTAAGTCCTGTTCGAATCGCCAGAGAGCCAGCCGAATTTCTCTTGGTGGAGGTTGAAACAGAGGAAAAGGAAGAATTACAAATGAACATGACGGTCCCTCCACTCCTCTCCAAATGTTTCTGTGAAGTAGAAGGATCGACCCAAGCTCGGCAGCCTCGCTCTCAGCCCAAGACCAGGCAGGGACCCAATGACAAAAGATGAACACAGATGCAAAGCTCCTCAATAAAATTATAGCCAACAGAGTTCAGCAAGTAATAAACAAATCATACTTTATGATCAAGCAGGGATGCAAGGTTGGTTTAACATGTGTAAACCAATAAAGGTAATACATCACATCGACAGAGCCAAGAACAACCACCACAGGATCATCTCAACAGATGCGGAAAATGCCTTTGACAAAACCCAACATCCATTCGTGTTAAAAGCTCTGGAAAAGCTAGGAATAGAGACAACACATCCCAAAATACTGAGCCTATACATGACAGACCGACAGCCAACATCATAATAGTGAAAAATTAATAACAAAGAATGTCCATTCTCTGCACTCTTTTTCTATAGTTCTGGAATTCCTAGCTAAAGCAATGAGCAAGAAGGCAAGAAAAAGACACAAAAGGGATTCACATAGGGAAAGAAGAAATCTATCCCTATTTGCAGAGGATACGATCTTGTATCTGGAGGACTCAAAAGCCTCTATCTCAAGCTCCTAATTATGATCGATAACTGGCATAGTAGCAAATTTAATCCACCCCAAACCAGTAGCTGTTCTGTGTATCAACAAAGCACAAGCAGAGAGGGAAATCAGAAAAAACCAAAAAACTCCATTCGCAATTGCCTCAAATGAAACCCCATTTGTTCACCTAGAATTCCCGGGTTGTGTCAGCCTAGTTCCGTCTCTTTTAAGAAATCTTTGCGTGGTGCTCTGGCTGCTGCAGGGAAGCAGCGGCCGCGTCAGCAAAGCAGCCTGGCGTCCCCCCAACCCGGAGCCAGATTCCGGAAGGAGGCGGTGGGGGCGCCAGGCCAGCGGGGAGCGTGGGCTGTGGGGAAACCACTCCCCGGTTTCCTACCTCGAATCCCTGTGGGCGCCCCAGGCTCTCCGCAAGGTGTCTCCAGGCCACCAGGATCTCTGACACCGACACACTGGTGGCTTGCACGTCTGTGGGGGCAGCGCTGGGCTCTGCGGAGGGAACACGGGGGAAAAGGTTCGGCTGTGACACACTGCACCCAAGTGAGGCACCTGTGACCCCCGGGGAGGGGAGACTCTTTCCTGTCCTCTGACCCCCAGGTGTGAACTCCTTCCTGTCCTCGTGACCCCAGGTGTGAACTCTTTCCTGTCCTGTGACCCCCCCAGGTGTGAACGTCTTCCTGTCCTGTGACTCCCCCCAGGTGTGAACTCCTTCCTGACATCTGACCCCCAGGTGTGAACTCCTTCCTGTCCTCTGACCCCCCAGGTGTGAACTCCTTCCTGTCCTCTGACCCCCCCAGGTGTGAACTCCTTCCTGTCCTGTGACCCCCAGGTGTGAACTCCTTCCTGTCCTGTGACCCCAGGTGTGAACTCTTTCCTGTCCTGTGACCCCCCAGGTGTGAACTCCTTCCTGTCCTGTGACCCCAGGTGTGAACTCTTTCCTGTCCTGTGACCCCAGGTGTGAACTCTTTCCTGTCCTGTGACCCCCCAGGTGTGAACGTCTTCCTGTCCTGTGACCCCCAGGTGTGAACTCCTTCCTGTCCTCTGACCCCCAGGTGTGAACTCCTTCCTGTCCTCTGACCCCCAGGTGTGAACTCCTTCCTGTCCTCCGACCCCCAGGTGTGAACTCCTTCCTGTCCTGTGACCCCCAGGTGTGAACTCTTTCCTGTCCTGTGACCCCCAGGTGTGAACTCTTTCCTGTCCTGTGACCCCCAGGTGTGAACTCCTTCCTGTCCTGTGACTCCCCCCAGGTGTGAACTCCTTCCTGACATCTGACCCCCAGGTGTGAGCGTCTTCCTGTCCTGTGACCCCCAGGTGTGAGCGTGTGTCTGTCTTATTCTGATGCAGAGGTTGGCAGTGTTTATGGAGAACACAAGATAGCGAGAATCTCTCTCCCCGTCTCTGAGCATGGCGGGGTCTTGGGGCGCCGGTGATGGTGGCTGGTCTGCAGGAGTTGTTATCTGTGGGTCACCTGGGACACTTACGGAGCGGCGACACAATCTGACTTGGATGGTGTCACGTAGGAGCAAGAGAATGGACAGTGTGGCCAGGCTCAAGGACTTCTTCGCCGCCTCTAAACCTGACCGCATGGGCGTATACATGGACTGGAGGCCGTGTGGACGCCTACTGTGAGATGTCTCATTACAAAGAGAAGTTTGGGTCGGGTGGAGTGGCTCACACCTCTGATCCCGGCTGCGTGGGAGGAGGTTTGAGGCCACCTTGGGCCTGAAGGTGCCCAAGACTATTTTTAATCAAGGGCTGGTGGATGGTGCGCGCCTGCAATCCTGGCTACGGGAGCTGGGGAGGAGGCACCGTGGCGGGCAGGGAAGCGTGAGGCCGAGGCGTGACGTCCACGCCAGCCCTGCTTAGAAAAGCAAAGCAGTGGAAGGGGCTGGCGGGGCGGCTCACAGGGAGAGCACCTCCTCTGGCAGAGCGCCCTTAGCCAAGGCGAGGCCCGAGTTCACTCCCCGGCACCTCCTGAGTAGGTATTGCCACCTACTGCAGCTTGGTCAAGCGTTCTACCTCTCTTCTCTGCTTCTCCCATCTGTAATACGGGAGTGATAAACATTTCTCAGGGCCTGGGTGCTTCCCTGAGCTTCAGTGCTCAAGGCTGGTGCTCTATCACTTGAGCCACAGCTCCACTTTGGCATTTTGGCACCTAATTGGAGGCAAGAATCCCACAGACATTCCTGCCCTGGCTGGCTTTGAACCGTGATCCTCAGATCTCAGCCTCCTGAGTAGCTAGGATGACAGGCGTGAGCCACCGTGCCTGGCTTCCCTTATAGATTATTTTTAACATGGTTTTATTTGGAATTGTGCTACAGTTACATATAACATGCACATGTGCCAAGGATTGCATTTATAATGCTCTGTTTACTCCATGTAGGCACAAATGGAGTAAATTTCATTTGATTTCTGATGTTCCAACCCCAAGGCTATGTGTCCACGCGCCAGGAGTGAGCTGTGAATATTTAAAGGGCAGGCGCTGACTTTTATGACAGGTGCCAGTGAACAGGAATGTTTCTGAAGGCCCAGCCGGTGGGCTGTTTGTTTCTGTTTTCTGCTCGGGGTGGCCTTTCCCAGTCTTCCTGCACACACGTCTGAGTGGCGTCTGTCAAGAAGTGTATTTTATTTGAGGTTGCACGCTCCATGAACAACAAAATATTTCTAGCTTTGACATGGCCGCGCGATAACAAACGCATGTGAGATGAAATGGTAGAAGGAAGGCCGTGTAGTAGGTCAAACAGTTCTGTACGAAGTCTAGTAAAAATTCTGCCCCACAGAAACTGGAGAGACTTTAATACGAATCCCTTATCATTGAGAAAAGTTCAGATTAATCTGTTGAAATAATTATTGGGGGATTTTGTCTTTTATTCCCTTTTGGATTTGGGAAATCATGTAGAGGGAGAGAATTTTAAAAAGATTGAATACCTTTTTTTTTCAAGGTGTTATGACAGCCACGGGAAACACTGCAAGCATTCCCTGAGATCTTCCTCTTCCAGGGGAAGGCAGCGGTACACCCCATCTGGGTGTCTGTGTGTTATTAATGGAAAAATACCAGCCAGGAGCAGCGATCCTGTGCTGCAAATGAAGACTTTTTCAAAGGTATATATTTGTATCAGCAATGATTTTCTTTTGGTAAAACCCTTCTACAATCACATGCTACAGTCATGTCAACTCCAAAGCTTGGTTAATTCACGTTAATCTTCTCACCCCGGCCAATGTTAATTCCCATCACGAACGCGCTGTGAGTTCCCGTTCTGCGCCCTTTGAATGCGTTTCGCTCTCTCCTTTTGCTCGGTGGTTTCTCACCCTACGTTACTCGTGCATCGACTCGATGTAAAACAACACACGTTTCCTCCCAGGACAAGGAGGGCAGCTGACCAATCACAGCTTCTTTTCTATTGTAATTTTCTAGGAGTTTAAATGCTTGATTTTTGTGTGCACACGAAAGGAGTGTGGTGTGTTTGAGCGTGCGTGTGGACAGGGTGTGGTTTACGTGGTGGGGCCACGTGGTGCCGTCTGTCATTGCCTGGGTGGATGCTGGCCAGGCCTCGGCCTCTGCATTACTGAAGCAATCACATCTCCCTCAGACAGACGGGGTAACGGTTCAGAACAGCCCGTCCCCTCCCGGCCCCTGTCCTGGTGCAGCCCCCCTGCCTGCCCCCCTCCCAGTGCAGCCCGGCCCTTCCATCCCCTCCCAGTGCAGTGATGGTGATGGTGGTGCTGACAGTGTTGCTGATGGTGATGGTGCAGTGGTGGTGACGGTGGTGGTGACGGTAATGGTGATGGTGTTGGTGCAGTGGTGGTGACGGTGGTGGTGACAGTGTTGCTGATGGTGGTGGTGCAGTGGTGGTACAGTGGTGGTGACGGTAATGGTGATGGTGTTGGTGACAGTGGTGGTGCAGTGGTGATGATGGTGTTGGTACAGTGGTAGTACAATGGTAGTGCGGTGTTGGTGACAGTGTTGGTGACAGTGTTGGTTGTGATGGTGGTGGTACAGTGGTGGTGCAGTGTTGCTGATGGTGGTGGTGCAGTGGTGGTGACAGTTTTGGTGATGGTGGTGGTGACGGTGGTGGTGACAGTGGTGGTGACAGTGTTGGTGACAGTGTTGGTGACGGTGTTGGTGACGGTGGTGGTGATGGTGTTAGTGACAGTGTTGCTGACGGTGTTGGTGACAGTGGTGATGATGGTGGTGGTGCAGTGTTGGTGACGGTGTTGGTGACAGTGGTGGT